TCTCCCCTTCAGTCTGGCTTCATAGGGGATCCTGCCCATGAGTTCCCCAAGTGAGGATGCAACAGGGGAAGAAGAAAGGAACAAGTGGCACGTGATCTATTACAAGACATCAGGGGCTTAGGGTACTTGGGGGAAAGAATTCTCAAAGCAAGTAGCTTTTTACATAGAGAACTGCTTGGAGCTGCAAGAAAAGGTTGCAACTAAAAAGACACTCTTGCACATCTCTAAGAGCAGCAGAAAATAATGAAAAACAGAAGATAGGGCATTCAAACTTCTCTCCCTTCCAACATTTGAGATGGATTAAAAACAAAGTAATCTAGAAAAGGATAAAAAAGTACCATCCTTGGCATTTCTTTCCTTCCCTTTTAAATGGTTTTTTCTAAGATTCTATAGCCACACATGGTCTTGTTTGAAAAAGGAGTAAGAGAGAAACTGGCAAATTCAGGTCATATTTCAAACTGACCATAATACACCTGAGAAACTAAAAGCCAAGCAACAGTGCTGGCCCCTTGGACTGGAGTACCAGGTCCCAATCAAACACTAGCAATGCTAGAATTTCTGCCTCTGTTCCCCTGACATCCTGCAGAAAGACCCTCACAATCAGAACTAATCTCCACACTAGAAATAAAAAGGCCAAAACAATTCTTCCTGAAAAGAAGAATCCACACAGAGAGAGCCCTGAAAGAAAAGTCTGTCTTACACAGATGCTGAACACTGGGCTTGATGCAGCTGTAATACTAACAGTGTAATAGCTGGCAATCAACCTTGGGGGGGGGAAAAAAAAGGCCCTTTGAAGCATTAAACAAAAGACAGGGACCTACTGAACTGGGGAAACTGTAGGTGGCCAGAGAAGAGTACTGCTTCATACTGAAAAAAAAACAAAACAGAGATCTTGAAATCAAGGCAATTTGAAACACTGCATTTAAATTAGTTTCAAGCTTTATACAAACTAATGTGAAAATGTGTGATATTTTATCTTTAGATTAACACACACAATGTGATGAATTACCCATGCTGTTTATAGAAGCCAGTAGTGGTCAAGTAGAGTTTGATTATGATCAATTGTGTCTGCTGTTCTTACAGTACAGATGTTAATAAAGCACTGGTCTAGTCTTCTGTAGCACAGATAAGTATTGTGTGTAAGAAAATTCTTGGTAGAAAAAGATACCCATAAAATCTGAAATTAACCAACAGGAAACTAAAGAAACAAGCACAATACGTCCATATAAGCAACACTAGGTCTGTAATAGAAAGGGCAAACTAACAACAAGCAACATCATGATCCAGATTTAAAAAAAGAAAAAAAAAAAGAAAAAAGATTTTTCTCCATCCTAACATAAAGCTTTTAGACAGCCACACAATCTAGAATGGGATCAAATTTAAGAGGGAACAGTTTGTACTGTAAAGTGCGCATAAGGCAATTGTAAAAGGAGCTATCCCATAACATAGAAACTAGATGCCACTATCACCTCAACAATGAAAAAAAGACCACATCCTTGAAAGATGAACACAAAGCAATTCAGCACCAAGAACTGTTTTAAAGTATTACTCCAGAGCAGGAGTCAGAGACAGTCGAGTTCCAGACCATCTAGAGCGGTCCTTGCGTGTGGCGGCGCACATCCCAGAATAGGCTTTGCGTGTGGCACTGTCCAGCACAGCTGCTGCTCTGAGTGGTCTGCACCAAATGCAGCTCCCATTCCAGCCACTTAGGGATCCGTGCTGCCTGCAGCACTAGTCCCAGACCAGCTGAAAGGTCACATTTGCTGCTTTGAGGAGGGAGTCCAAGGGCTCGATCTGGCCTGTGGACTAGGCCTGTACCATAGGCATGCTCCATGCCTCCTGTGGATCTGATCAGACCCCAGGGGATGAATCGGGAGGCCAGATGGTGGTGTTCCTTAGGCCAGATTTGACCTGCAAGCCATGTTTGACACCTATGCTCAAGAGTTTCCTCAAAACATATCAGATCTTGTCTTATTTCAGTGGATAAATCAGGGAACTATGAGTATTTGGAGCTACAGGCCACATACATAATTAACGCCTAGGCATCAGTGAATCAGAAACTACTGCTATTAAGATTCATACAGGACATATCATCACATTACAACAGGAATTCCCCCCATTCTAGTGTTGAGGGGAAAAATGCAATGAAGACCAAACTGCCAAAATACCAGATTATTTCTTATTTAAAATACCAGCCATGTCTTTTATGAAGCCATAATTATAAGCATATTACTTTTTCATTATAAATTTAAGAGCAAGTGTGTGGTTTGTACTACAACTATGGGCCAACTCTTGAAAGGGGCTAAACAACTCTTTAGTAGCATTTGATAGTGCTCAATTCTTTTAGTAACTTGTCCCAATCAGAGAAATTCTGAAATATGTTCATAAATATGAGAATGTGGTTATCACCAATAGAATGATCTTGACACGCTACAAAAATGTGTATTAGGCAGTTTTACATAAAACTAACAAACAGTCACAGAATCATAGGAATTAAGAGCTGGAAAGGACCTCGCATGTCCAACACCCCCCCCCCCCCCCCCCCCGGGCGGAAAA